TTTAGTTTTAATGACTATAGTTAGTCAGGATCTTGCTTGTTTTCTGGTCATCTCTCCATTCTCAGCACCTAAGCTCAGACTTTCTCACTTACCTGAGTTTCTCAAAATTATCACCTACTTTTGAGCCTCTTAAGGATTTTTGTATATCTTCCTTCACAGCTTATTTTAGAAAGTCAGGGTTTCTCAGACCTGTTCCTACACTATCAGGACTAAGCTTGGGCCAGGCGTGGTTACGTAGCTGTTATCCCCGTGATTCAGAAGGTTTGGACAGGAGGATCGCATGTTGGAAGCCAGCCTCAGCAAGTTGCTTAGGGCCTAATCTATTTCAAAATGAAAATAAAAAGGGGGTAGGGATGTGTGACTTGGGGGTTAAGTACCCCTGGGTTCAATCCCTGGTACAAAAAAATAAAAGACTGAGCTTGATGCTAGCAGCCCCTCATTTCCTTCATGAACACTCCTTTTCTCTCTCTCCCACATGGACTCTCACAACACTTGTTGTACACTTAAATGACATTACACATTCTGTTGTAATTGTCTGTTTACTTTTCCCTCTCGAAACAGCAACAACTATTTATTGTTGTTAACTTATAACTGTAGCAAAACAACAACAACAACAAAAACTGGCAGAAGTTATACACAGCTCTAGAATGGATAGTAAATTTCTGATCAGTACGTAGAAGGAAATGAACATTTATTGGAGACTTGGCCTTCACCTATCTGGTCCTGTGGTAATGGTTCTGTGAACAAGCTCTCAAAGTAACAAGTGCAGTAGGGCAAAGCAGGAGTGAAGTTCACAGGTTGGCTGGAGTGGGCCCAGCACCTTGCTTTGCATTGATAGAGGGTAGCCTTTCCTATAGCTAGCAACAGTGCTACAGAGATAAGAGGGCTGCTTAAAGTCCAACAGTTGTGCTAGAGATTAAAAGGAAGACACATTTTAGTGTCTTAGTGATTGGGTGTGAGGAGTTACTTCAGACTTGATGGGCTACCAACTAGTAGGAATGGTTTCAAGATTCTTTTTATCTTTATTTTTTGCAGCACTGGGGATTGAGCCTAGGGTGCTCTACCACTGAGTTATACATCCCTAGTCCTTAAAGTTTTTTTTTTTTTTTTTTTTGGTTGTTGTTGTTTTGAGACAGGATCTCAACATGTTGTCCAGGCTGGCCTTGAACTTGTGATCCTCCTGACTTAGCCTCTTAAATTTCTGGGATTACAGATGTGCATCACTGTGTCTGGCCAGGTTGGCTTCTTGTTGGATGGACATCTCCACTTAATTCCTATTGTAGCCCAGCATCCCAGCCCAGATACAGAGCCCCACTGACCCTCTTGCATTGATTCTAACAAGTAACCACCAAAGCTCCTTCCAACTTCAGTCTAAGGTTAAAAACAGATTCTGAGCCCAACCCTAGAAATTCTGATTCATTGGGCCCAGGGATCCTAATTTTATTTTTACATGGGCCTTTTTGGAAGTCTAAGGAACACTACTATGTAGGTGCTATAAATATGCGTTTTATTTAGTTGCAAGAGAGTAGAGTTTCATTATAGTTAACTTTTAAAATTTAAGTATATTAAATTTTAGTGGTGTATGCCTATAATTCCAGTGATTGGAGAGGCTGAGGCAGGATGATTCCAAGTTCGAGGAAACCCTCAACAATTTAGTGAGTCTGTCTCAAAACTTAAAATGAAAAGGGCTTGGGATGTAGCTCAGTGATAAGAGCACCTCTTGGTTCAATCCCCAGTACTGCAAAATAAATAATGAAGATTTGCAACCATGGAAACAACTGAAACTTTCCTCCATTGTGCTTATCTGGTAGGAGCTGAGGTGGGTGTGAGAAGGAATGTGCTACCATCTGGTGTAATCTGTTAAAAGTTTTGCTTCATTTTGTATTGGAGCTTGAACCCAAGGGCACTTAACCATAGAGCCACATCCTCAGCCCTTTATTGTATTTTATTTAGAGACAGGGTCCTGCTGAGTTGCTTAGGACCTTGCTAAGTTGCTGAGGCAGGTTTTGAACTCTCAATGCCACTGCCTCAGCCCTGCAAGCTGCTGGGATTACAGGTATGCGCCACCACACCTGGCTAAAGTTTTTGTTTTTGTGGCTTTTTGTAGCAGATACTCCTGGTGCTGTAAATCATGTCCTTCTAGTCCACCACTGATTTCAACCAAAACTCAGATTTTTGCAGTTTCTCTTAAGTTTTGCCAGCATCTGTTTTCTGCCTAAGGACCTTTCCAGCCCAGCAAGGGAAAGGGGAACATTAATATACCAGTCAGCTTTCAATCAGCAGAGGATGCAGTCAAGTGTCAAAACATTGTGCCTTCTTTAGGGGCCCTACAGAATCACCCCTACTTTTCAACAGTCACCTAGATTGTGTATCTTTATTGGCTTTTCTCCTTCTCTATTGTACCTCTGCTTTCCCACTTCTTTCACTGGGATCCTGTCCTGTTTTCACCTTGCTATAACCATATATACAAGTAATTGCCATTTGAGCTGACTTTACTGGTTAAATGCAAGCAAAACTTTCCCTAATTAGTTTCTTTTTAATGTTCCTGTCTGTCGATAATGGCACTTAAAATAATGTGTGTGGGAGGAAGGCGAAGAGAACATATTGTGCAATGCAGAACAGCAGATATTGCTAAAGTTTAAATTTATTCATAGACACACTGTAATGAGATCATTGTGTGAGAATTTATTGTCCCCTTCCCACCCCAACAACCTTCATTTCTTCCATTTTACTTATAGTGTGGTTGAAGGGATATGAAGAACCAGAAAATATTTGGCAAAATGAGACAGCATTCAGTGTGTCTTTTATTCATTTTTAAATCATCTTGTTCTTGAAAAATTCTAAGTAGTCCTGTTTGGAAATTAAATTATAAAATATAATTATAGATATCTGTTTTAAAAGTGCTATAGTACAGAAAAGGGAAAGATCACTACAGATGATTAAGATATAAGTTGCCAAAGATCAGAAAGATCCTGATAAGATTTTAGCTGGGAACAGTGGCATATGCTTGTAATCCCAGGGACTGGGAGGGTGAGGCAGAAGGATCATAAGTTCAAGGCCAGTCTCGACAACTAAGTGATACCCTGTCTGAAAATAAAAAATTTTGTTGTTCAGTGGTAGAGCACCCCTGAATTCCATCCTGGACAGTATTGTGTCTCCCCAGTACACACATACACATATTTATTTATTTTAGGGGTATCTTTTTAAAAACACTTTGTGTGTGTGTGTATGTGTGTGCATTAAATGTAAGCTTTCTTTTTATGTGGCTAGAAGACAGCATATCCACATTTCCTCTTTTAACTGAAAATTAATGGACTTACAAGTTGAAATGAAGGATAAACTTGAACCAGTTAATTACTTTGTGCAATGCAGAATAGCATACATATTTACTTTTCATCCTTGACAGTCAACACTGATGTCTGACAGAAGTTATGCAGGAGCTGCCACAGTATTGCCACTTGGTTTTTTTACGAAGAAAATTGAGAGGAATGCCAAGTCACCCAAAACATAAAGCTAAGATTGTCGCAGTGGTCCAGAGTAGGTAAAAATTCCCTATGCTTAGACCTACAGGTGCTGTGGCTTTCAGTCCCACCAGCCTGTGACCGCACATCTTTATTTTGGTGAATAGGTTTATTTTGCAGACCAGACATCCCTGGAAAACCTCTTTCCTCCATCCAAAGTGTGTGTGTAGCAGTAGGCTTGACCTGATCAATAGATTATTTAATATTTCAACCCCTCAGTTAACATTTCACCTTAGACCCAGGGAGAAAGTGACTTGCCCATGGTAAAAATCACCTCATTATCTAATCAGTGATAAGTAGGGCCTAGAACACAGGTCTTTGTTATGTAATCATCTTGCTGTCTCTTTTCTGAACTGGTACCCATCTCTTTATTTTTTTATTTTAGTTTTTGTGTATTTGTGGTGGGGTTTTTTTTGTGTGTGTGTGTGGGGGGGGTACTGGGCATTCAGCCCAGGAGTGCTTTACCACTTGATCCATGTCATCAGCCCTTTAAATTTTGTTGAGATGGGTCTTGCTAAGTTGCCCAGACTGGCCTCAAACTTGATTTCCTCCTGATTAAGGCTCTTGAGTTGCTGAGATTACCAGGGTGTGTCTGCCTCTGGCTCCCATCTATCCCTGGTCAAGTACAAAACATGGCAGCTTTTCTGAACTAGATCACATGGGTTTTAGAATTAATAAGGATTTATAGATTCTATGTGGTTTAAGATATCTGTAGGAAATTTGACATTTAAGTGCTTACATAATCAAGACTAATAGATGGATAAGCAAATAGATGGATAAGCAAACAAGTGAAAAGTTGTATACATCTAAATAGTATTATTGGGAATAGTCTAGAAAGCAATATAATACATTTTGATACACAACCAATAAAATGTTAGTTGTGATGACCTGGAAAAAGTGTTTAAAAATCTAAGCATTATGGAGAAGTTCCTTTTATACTTTCCTTTCTTTTGTATTATGCCTATCAAGTGTTTTCAGTAGCTTTCTTAAAGGATTAATGCATAACACGTGAATATCTGTTTCTGAAACTCATCAGCCAAAACCAATTTATTTTCTGGCTGATACACAATGAAAAGTGGTTATTTTACTTTTGTTGTAATAGATCTGTGCATTAAAAACTGGCTGACGGTGGATATAGTGGCTCATGCATATAATCCCAGTGACTTCAGAGGCTACAGTGGGAGGATTAGAAGTTTGAGGCCAGCCTCAGCAATTTAGAGAGGCCTTAAGCAGTTTAGTGTGTCCTTGTCTCAGAGTAAAAAATTAAAATAACTTAGGATATGGCTCAATGGTAAAGCCACTCCTTGGTTCGATCCCCAATACCCCCCCCATAGAAAAACCTAGCTGAAATGAGTGTTGAAGATTTAGTAAACAGTAGAAAGTGTTTCTTTTACTTGCTAGAACTATCTGAGCCTAAGTTACAGAAGAAACTTCTTTTAAAAAATTGGTCTCAATCAATTATGTATTTCTTTCCTATAGGGCCTGTGTTATGCACCTAAAGCCATACTGGAAACTCCAGAAGAAAGAGCGTTCTCTGGAAGTCTGCAGGGACACTCTGAGAATTCTTATGAGCCATCAAAAGGCTGTAAATGATGAAAAATGCAAAGCTAGCTATATGAAAACAAGTGTCTTTCCTTCAACTTCTTTTAGCAAAGCATCATCTCGAAAACCTTTTGGGATCCTTTCTCCAAATGTTCTGTGCAGTATGAGTGGGAAGAGCTCTGCAGAGAACAGCTTGAATGTCAAAACTAAAAAGAATGTGCCACCTGCAACAATCCACCAGGGTGAAGAAGGAGAAGGGCCACTTGATATCTGGGCTGTTGTGAAACCTGGAAATACCAAGGAGAAAATTGCATTCTTTGCAGCTCACCAGTGTAGCAACAGGTTAGGATCTATGAAAGTGAAAAGCTCTTGGGATATTGATGGGAGAGCTACTAAAAGAAGGAAAAAATCAGGGGATCTTAAAAAAAACAAGATACAGTTAGAAAGAATGAGGGATGTCAATAACAGGTGCTACCAGCCTGAGCCATTTGCATGTGGCATTGAGCACTGTTCTGTGCATTATGTAAGTGACAGTGGAGATGGAGTCTATGCTGGAAGACCTCTGTCGGTTATACAGATGGTTGCCTTCCTTGAACAAAGAGCCAGTGCTCTGCTAGCTAGCTGTGCGAAAAACTGCACAAACTCACCTGCCATTGTGAGGTTTTCTGGCCAATCTAGAAGTATGCCTCCTGCCCCTGACCCATTCTCTGCCCCAGGAGCTTGTGAAGAACCCACAGAAAGGGGAAATTCTGAGGTTGGCGAACCACAGAGCGAACCAGTCCGTGTCCTAGACATGGTAGCCAGGTTGGAGTCCGAGTGCCTGAAGCAGCAGAGCCAGCGTGAGCCTGGAAACCTGTCGCGGAATAACAGCTTCCGTCGAAATGTGGGCAGGGTGTTGCTTGCAAATAGCACTCGGGCTGATGAAAGCAAAACAAACAAAGGCATCTTGGAGGCACCTGATACTCAGGTGACTCCCATGCAGTCTGTGTCTGTAGACTGTGGTCCCTCAACAGCTGACCATTGTTCTACTAAGGGGGACCAGGCCTGGGATAGTGCTTCTCAGAGCTGTCCCTCATTGCCAGCAGGTGTGAATTTCCACTTGGACAGGGCAGAATTAGAGCCAGGTCAACATACTGCTGTGAAAAACAACAACAGGTATGATGTGGAAATGACAGATGAACTTGATGGATTACCTTTTTCTTCTCACACCTACCCCCAAGCCACTGAATTGCCCACAGATGCTGTCAACTGTATTAGTAGAGAGCTTGTGCCTCTTACTAACCAAAATCCTGATCAGAGAAGAAAAGAATATCTGTGCATCAGCATCACTGTTTCAAAGGTAGAGAAAGCCCAGCCTTCTAGTTTAAATTCCCATGAGGAGCCACTTCCAGGGATGTTGTTTTTTTTGCCATCTGGTCAACACCAGTTAGACTGTTCCCAGTTGAACGAAAGCACAGCACAGGAGTCTTCAGAGGCAGGCCAGCTTGAAGATGCTGCTCAAATTGACAGTGCATCTGAGGAGAAAAGTGTTTCAGTTGAGCCACTTGCACCACCAGTTTCTGCAGTGGAAGGTACGTTACCTGTACTTGAAGCCTCCAGTTGGAAGAAGCAGGTGTCTCATGACTTTCTGGAGACGAGGTTTAAAATCCAGCAGCTTCTGGAGCCTCAGCAGTACATGGCATTTCTGCCTCACCACATTATGGTGAAAATCTTCAGGTTACTTCCCACCAGGAGTTTAGTAGCTCTTAAATGTACCTGCTGCTATTTCAAGTTCATTATTGAGTACTACAACATCAGGCCAGCAGATTCTCGCTGGGTTAGAGATCCACGCTACAGAGAAGACCCGTGCAAGCAGTGCAAGAAAAAATATGTGAAAGGGGATGTGTCCCTGTGCCGGTGGCACCCCAAGCCCTATTGCCAAGCATTGCCCTATGGGCCTGGGTACTGGATGTGCTGCCACCGGTCTCAGAAGGGCTTTCCTGGCTGTAAGCTGGGGCTTCATGACAATCACTGGGTCCCTGCGTGCCACAGCTTTAATCGGGCAATCCATAAGAAAGCAAAAGGGACTGAAACTGAAGAGGAATACTAAAGTCCAGGGGAGAGGCAACAAAAAGGACTGATCTTTTAAACCACAAAATACCTAGATAAACTGTTCACGCGAGTGTTGCCTCTCAGTTATCACTTTAGGAGTCTGTACTTACTCCTTCAGGACTGCCATCACTCAGGCATTTTTCTAAACTCTGAACTTACCAGCTGTATAAGAAAAATGGTCTCATGGTTTTATAGTGGCGCCTCAACATTTGATCCAGGGTGGTATCCCACAGCTTGATTCACTCAGCTGCAAATAACTATGCCTGTTTTCTGTCATCAAAACCTTCCTTAAAGGATGACAGCTTGCCACCATCAAGGACATTGAGAGGAGTTCACTGCAGACTCTGCAGGCAGTTCCCAGAGGTTCCAGAAATGTTTCCAGCACTGGCACCATATATGAAATAAGTGAATAGTGTCCTATGAAAAAACAGACCCTTGGATGATAAGTATACCTAAAAAGGAAGAGTCAGGCACCTTACCCTAGACCTTGTATGCTTGATCCTGTGAGATTGATGTTTGTGATTGAAGATGGATTTCATGCCCTGTGGTGTTTACAGTGTATATAATGGTTGTGTTTTCATAGGGCTGTGAAAGTGCACATTAAACCCGAGCGCCTTTATCTTTAGATGAGTGCTTTAGCCCCTCTGTAAATAACACAATTAAAATACAGTTGTATATGATGGAGAGCTGACTTAAAAGCATAATCACCACAATGCAGCTAGGATAGTGTTGCGGCTATAATTGTGTTTTTTTAAAATTGTCTCAAAGTTTGTACATCCTGTATAAAATATGAATGTTTCTCAAACTATGAATGTTCCCTGTATAATATATGAATGTTTCTGAGAAGAAACTCTAAATAGTTAAGAGGTTAACCTGTTGAAAGGATACCAAATAATGGTTTAACTGGACAACCTTAAAATTAGCATAGAGAACAATTCCTTGTTATATTTTAGTGATCCACCAAGAATGAGAGAATATTATATAGTCAGATTATAACATTCTTGTCTACTTTATCCTTTCTGTCTGGTTACAATTTTTTTTAACTTCAATAAACATGCATCTTAAAAGAAATGTTTTGCAAAGATTTCTTTACCCTTTTTAAATTAAAAAAGTCTATAATGCTAAAGAAGGTTGTTGTGGATGGAGTTGGAAGAAATTTTGTTAAGTTTTTTTGAGTTGGTGGGGAATATAGAGATAATTTTTTTTTTTCCTGCCACAGAAGAGACTACTTGGGCCTTAGGCTGTAGCTCAGTAGTATAGTGCTTGCCTAGCATTTGCAAGGTGCTCTGGGTTCCAGCCCCAGCATGTGGGGATGGGGTGGGGTTCCGCTGGGTACAGTAATGAACACATGTAATCTCAGCAACTCTGGAGGTTGAGGCAAGAAGATCAGAAATTGGAGGCCAGCTTTGGCAGTTTAGCAAGACTGTGTCTCAAAAAAGTGGGAAGGATGGGGATGTAGCTCAGTGGTAGAGTACTCCTAGGTTCAATTCCCAGCACCTTTATTATATTATACAAGCTTAAATTTTTGCAGTCTTTTAACACATTTTGAATTTGTTGTCTGCCCAGCACCTACCATGTTTCCTAAGATATCCTTACAAGGTGTTCAGGTATAATCATTTTAGAAGTCATTTAGGATCTCTTCAGGCCCATGGTCATGTAATGCTTGCTGGGGCTGGATGGGAAAGAAGTTAGGCCCCAGAGTTATGATAGGTGAGGAATCTAAAAGCACCGATTTAAAAAATTGCACCAATTTAAAAAAAAAAAAAAATTTTTTTTTTTTTTTGGCAGTGTGTGTGTGTGGGCAGGGGGGAAGCTAGGTTGGCTTGATATTAAGTGCTCACCAAAAAATCCTTGCAGCCCGTGGAAGCTGCAGGGTTTAGAAGAACAGATAGGAGAGTGATGAGTGAGGATCTAAGGGTCTTAAAGAAGGATCTTAATTTGGCCAGAATCACACTCAGCCACATTAACCTGTGGCTGAGGCAGAGGGTGGGCAGAGTGGCTTACAAATTGGAATCTATTTTGGTTTCTTAGTGATAACCGCTCTTCCTCAAAAAGCAGGTACTAAAACAGTGTCTCTTGATGCTCTCAGCAAATTTTCCCCGGACAGGCATACACCATGTTAGGCTGGCCTGAAGGCTTATGGGAGTTGTCTGTGACACAGGACCAAGAGGAGACCTAGAACAGCTCACCTTGCCTTTGAGGGATTGTGATTTTCCTCTTGCCTCACCCCAGCTGAGGTATGTTGAAAAATGCTTCTAAATCCTAGAGTCTCCTGGGCTCAAGTGAACAGTGCACCTCAGAAGTGCCTAATAAGTTTGTTGTGATTCATAATTTGGGAATCAAAGAAGATAATACATACACAGGACTTATGTTCAGCCGCATGTGAAGTGCCCAGTAATGTCAGCTGTCATTGTTGCTATCTGTGGTTTTCCATGTGCTCAATGTGAACACAGGATAAACAACTCTGGGTTGGTCTTCATAAGTCAGTCACTCCTGATTTGGTTATCACAGAGAACACAAAGCTGACCGTAAGGGACTGAATTGCCTGAGAGCAGAGGCACAGCAAGAATGCCCCAGCCCCATTTGGCTGCAGTACTTGAGGCCCTCAAAAAACACTGTTGACATGTTTTGACTGTATGCCAAGACCTAGCTCCCAGTGCTCTCTGTGGGTGGTAGAAATTTTTAGCAGGTGGCATCAGAGACACACTTGCTGGGCTTCATTTCTAGCCAAGTGTAGCAGCCCACTTTGAGACTGTTTCAGGGCCCCATAGTGTCAAGCTGGTGAAAATACTTCCTATCATGGTACAGTGCTACTTTCCTGCATTACTGTAGGAGCCTAAGACTTCAAAGAAGGGGCTAGGGAGGCAAAGACCCTAGCCCCTCACCATACACACCAAAGGAAACCTCTCCTTCAGCTTTTGCTTAGCCTCTGATATTCTGGCTTTGTCTTTCTCCCATCTCAGGTGTCAAGCCCTCATTTGGCCATTTTGAAAGAAAAACCAAAATCAGAGAAATTTATCCCTGGGGCAGTTTTAACTTTCCCCTGTCCAGCGATGAGAGCAGAGACACAAGGAATGTGTGAATTACAAAGGAACAAAAGCTTAAGATTAAAGTTTGCTTTTTCAGGCTTTTGTTAAGTAATCCTTACAGTTACTGCCTAAGCCTGGAGCCCCTGTGTTTAGGAGGTTCCTTGTTGAGAGCCACAGCCCAAGCGGCCCAGCAAACTTCCAGCTGATTGGCTCACCCCAGCAAACTTCCAGCTGATTGGTTCCTCTGTGGTGATGCTCATTGGGCTGTTTCCCCACCCTTTCAGACCATGGAGCTGCTCATTGGGGGATTCTTTGGCTCTGCCCACATGACCCAGCCAATCGGCCTCAAGGGCAAGAAGAGCAGGTGGTGGCAGTTGGGCTCTGAGGGAATTCCTGAAGAGGTCGCATGGTGCAGCGTGTGTTCTAAAACTAAAGTTCGTCCCTGCTTGATAAATGGCTAATGAATTGTGCCCACCCAGACTGCAGCAGTACCTCCTTCTGAAAACAACCCCATACGTCCACTCACCATGGTGGACCAGTTGTCTTCCAAAACTCTGTGCATATAGACCATCACATGCCCCTCCTATATATCACTGCATATGAACCTCTGACCACTGCACTGACTTGGAAACCACTAGTTTGTACCACTACCCTCAGCGCCTCACGTGGTACACCCTCTGTAAAATGTCTGCATGCCTTGTTAGTGACGCTCTTAATGTGGGGGGTATTGGCAGGTTTGTACTGTTCAGAGCAATACTATTAATTTTCAATCTAGGATTAGAAGCTTGAGGTGGGGGACAGAGGGGGTCTTGGGTGATCTTCCTCTGTTCATCGCTGGTCACATGGGAGCATTTTGTATATAGGGAAGCTCCCATAACACCCATGGGTGAGGGGAGGAGTAGTTCTTTATCAGTCATTGTCAAGCATTTGGTATAATCTAGGCTGTTATTGCCAAAAGCTGCAGGCTGATGGTTATGGCATGACCTCAGGGGTCTGTCCTAAGCTTTTCCCAGCCACCACTGTAAGGGACTTGTCACCACCTTGTACCAAATCTCTTCTTTCTGTACACTGCAGTTGACAACAATAAGAGCTAGTTATTTAAGCCAAATATCAGTTACTATGTTGTGTTTAAATGTATTTTCTACTGCACAGGGTCAGGCACCGGTGGAATCAGATCCTTTCTAGCCCCATCTTTCCTTTGGGTTCATTGTTAAGCTAGTGTTGCAATCTCTTCTGAGTTGGTGGAAATACCTGTGCTGGAAAGGTGCAGTCCCTTTTGAAATGCTCACTATGAAATGTGTGGTCATAGCTGATGTTTGCACAAGCTCATGGGAGGAGCAAACATTGTGGTTATGCACCCTCGGTGATGTCCAGAGTGTTTATATCAAATTCGTTTAAGCAAAACCACAGCAAGGCGTCATCCTTCCTCTCCATGGGAGTGACATGGTAGCAGTGCCTCAATTCTAGATGGTGGTTTTGACCCTGTGCTATTTAAGGGGAGCAGAGCCACTAGAGTTGCAGCTGGGAAGGGAGTAAGAACTGAAATGCCAACAGAAAGAACCTGTTTCCTAAACTTGATGAACTTGGGAGGCCCTTAATGCATAATTGAGAAGGTGCTCACTAAACTCTAGCAAAAGCTGTGCCATCCTATGGAGGCCACTAGCCACAGGTAGCTATTCAACACTTGAAATTGGCTAGTCCCATTTGAGATGTACTATAAAATATTTAACCAGGTATCCATTTTTTTCAATATGAGAATGTTGAATAACACTTTATAAATTACATGTTTCTCAACTTTTAAATGAGAGCCACACACAGGGGTTACATTATTTCCATCTGACAGTTGTAACTATATCTGTGTTCTTTATACATTAATGCACAGGTGAATTGCTGGAGATTCTGACAGTGGGTCTGAGATGGTACCCCAAAACCTGTATTTCTAACAAGCTCTCAGGTGATGTTGATTCTTCAGTTCAAAGGACGACAGGGTAGCAAGGATCTGGAGAGATGGAAGCACAAAAGGGCTCTGGCATGGTGAACTCTAAATGCTCAGGCTGTAGTGGGTGGAATGGCATTCAAAGGCCATCAAGAAGGGTAGCAGAATTCCCTTAAGATAGTACCAATGGCCCCCGCACCAGAATATAGGTGTTTCTCCCCATGGTCACTAGACATAGTCCTCCTTATTTGGAAGGCAACTATTAAATTGCTGATCACAGGTGCTCTGCTCCTATCATTCTTTAATCAACCTTATGCTGGAGATGCCTCTTCCCATCTAATAATCACAAATCATAGCACTTATATTCCAGAAAATAAGCTGCTAGGTAGGGCAGGAAAGCACTTTCCTCAAATTCTAGTCCTCATCTTAAAAGTCATACAGAAAATTCTATAATGGCATACATAAGGATGGTGGGGATAAGGGACAATGATAAGGAGGGATCAATCAATGCCTCAGCCACAGGACCTTTACAACTCCTGAGGATTTTTCACTCACCTGACTCTAGCATGTTCATTGCTTACCTAGTGTCCTTAAATAGCTCCTGCCAATTTCCCCCTGATGGGCTAAAGTCTCCATCACATTTCTACTCTCCCTATGACTCCTTCCTACAAAAGCTCATGAAAAAAAAAATCACTGATATGGCTCTTATTATTTTACACCTTTGAGTTTTCCCCACTGGTTGCTCCTTTAAAAAAATTCATTTATGTAACTTTCCATTTTTTTTCCTCATCAGATCTCAGAATGGGGGGAGATGATGGTTTTCCTTATTGAGAGTTTCACAACGAAGGTGCAGATGGCTTGTTCGAGTCCACTTGCAAATTTTCTGTGCTTCCTGCATCAACCATTATATAACTCTAGGGATGGGGAATTTCTCACAGCCTGTTGGAGAAGCCTATTCCTCCTGTTCCTGGATGGCCTACTCCAATTAAAGGGTTGAGAGTGATATGGTAGCAGTGCCTCAGTGTTTCTCCTGGCAGGCCAGGCTCTTGTAAAGCAGCCACTTGTTATCCTCTCTCCACGATAACCTGAAAAGTACCATGAGTGGGTGGGGAGCAGAATCCTTCAAAACTACTCAGTCTCTTCTAACATTTTTTTCTTGCTGGTTGCATGTGGGTACCTTGGAGGCCCACTCTTGTCTGTTGTAAAAAACCAAATTATTATAAGTCACACACATACTATGCTGCCAAAGAAACTGGTAAGCAATCAATTTTCTCAGCTTGCCAAGGATGAATTGTTATTAATACTATCATGATATATAATTAATGAATGTATTAACAGAACACTTTTCCTTACCTGCCCCCCCCAAAGTGTGTGTGTGTGTGTGTGTGTGTACCCCCACTAGCTTTCATTCTTGCTACCCTCAATGTAGTAGTTGAAGTAAGTTTGAAAAAGACATTAGCAAAGTAATGTTAAAAGATTTATTGCAGTAATACAATAAAAGTTTAGAAAACATTTGTATGACTCAAACTGTTTGGAAGTCGTAGAGCAACGGGAAATTCCTGCAACATGACACTGAGAGAAGATTCTTAGATACTAGTTCTTTGAACAACATGCCACCGAATGTTTTCCCAAATTACACACAAGTACTTAACTACCATACCCAGTGGTGACATACTGTTTCCCCCTTAATTTACAGAAGTGCAAAACTTTTAAGTTTTATTCCATTACCTAAAAATGTCTTTTGCAAGACCATTTAAAGCAGCCTATTTGGTGCCTGTGGGTTTTTAGTAGTATTACCTTGTTTCAATAAATCATTTTAAAATGGAAACATAACCAAATTCTATGGCTTTTTGTTTAAAAAAAATACCAGCTTTTTTATAAAGTTGTTTATATATATGATTCTGGCACCTACATGAAAGACTTTAATGAACAGCAAAAAGAGTAGAAAAAAGTGGTTGAAATGTATATTTAAGAATATTTACAGGATGGATCCAGTGCAAAATAATGTAACCCCAAATATTTCAGCAGTGTAAGCCAGTTTGTTGGTGTTCAAAACCTTTAAAGGGTTTGATCATTTAACCCAACATAAAGTGCCTCTAGTTGATACTAACAAAATATATCTTATCAATCAATCCCTAGATTTCTCACATCCTTGTTTTGTTCAATTACTCTAGACATGAGTTTGTAATCTCTGAATTCTATTCTTTAGCTTCATCTCATTCATGGTTTGTAAATTCATTTGGTATTTGTTCATTCTACCATATCCACTCTATGAATACCAGAACTGGATGGTAAAATACAAGCCCAGGAATCACAAAACTGAGTACTTAAAACAGAGAGACCAGCTGTATAAGAACCCACAAGATGAAAAAAACTGTTTCCTCACAAGTGGAAAATTCTTAGAGCCAGGGAACTTGGGACTCCTAAACAGGAGTAAACTCCCTTCTGCAATTCTACCCAAAACTCCACCAAACACCAAATATACCAATAGCCAAGGCTAGGAGTAGCACCTCGGATTTGGAGTATCAACTATAATAATTATAATAAGCTAGGGCATGGAGAACCCCCCAATGATTTATGTGAGGTACTATCATGCTAATCACACTAAGATATGGTATGGTAATAATGTCTAGTAGAAATTTGATAGGATTCTTTTGTAATTACATAAGATTTTTTTGCAGTAATTAAAAATAAACTACTTACATATTTGTACATAATGCCTCTTTCATTATAGTTTTCTGTAAGATTGTCACTAGGAGAATGACAAAACACATTAGCTGGAAATGATCTCTTGGTGAGGGCAAGTTCTTTATTGAGCTTTCCCCAGGGTAGAGAAGAGCAGCACCAGCTACAAGGATGTGCTCTGCATTCTGGGCAAAGGCAGCACTTTCGGAGCCACACACACCTTGGAAACAAGCAGGATGGTTTTCCCTGGAAACACTGTGGTGCCATCTACTAAATCCCTCCGAAACAAACTGCGAGAATAACAAAAGACCTCTTAACTAAGTGGCTTTTAACCTGTGCCTAGATAGGCAGTAAGCTCACACACAGGAATGAATGGCCTTAATGACTTATTTTCGTTCACAGAAAATAAGTTCCATGTAAGAAAGAACATAGCATGGATGGCAGGAATTCAATAACCTAGGTAAGAATGAGCTTAATTCCACTCAAGACTACAAGAAAATAGTTTAAACTTGTTCTAAGACATTATTGCAGCCAGGATTTCTTCTGTTCATGGATGTGGGTCCTACAGAACAAAAAGACCTTAGTTTCTTTGGTGTGGAGGGAAAGGAAAGCAGGAATGTGAAAAGCTACAATGGAGCAGCACAAATTAAATAAACTACTCCTTTCCCTCAAAAAACCACCCCCTCCCAAACAAGAACCAAAATCCTTGATCTAAAAGTCAAAGATGACCAAGTTACAAAGAAAATATTTCAAATTGCCTACAGATTCTCCGTACAAAAACTGATGGCAGAAAAATTCAGTTTTTCTTTCAAGTCCTCATGAGGAACCAATTCCTTATGGTTCGACCTACCTTTAGAAAGTAGTGTCAGGAAAAGTCTTAGCATCACTAGGACCAGCTCACTGACCAGGCCTGCGGGGCCTGGGACCAGATGGTACCCAGAAAAACGACTTCAACAAACACCACCAACCACGTGCACAGGTCTGCACAGAAGAACCTTTGTGCCCTCTTCTACATCATAAGCATGTCAGTCACCATCACAGCTACCTCACAAGCAGAAATGCTATTCTCCCTGCTTAAAACAATGGTTTAACTTCCTTTTGTTCCAGGCACTATCTTAACTAAACAGGATTCCCTAGAGTGCAGTGGGAGAGCTTTTGTAGTACAAATCTGGCATGTTTCAGCCCATACTTATTAACGGTGTCCGGTATAAGCTTTGAACCAGGAAGTCACCGAGGCCGCAGCAGAGGAGATCATCCCGCCAGCACTGCTGCTTGCAATGGGTGGGGACACCTGGGTGCTCTGGCTCTGGGAGACTTCCACAGGCTGGGAAGGGATATCACAGAACCGGGGGCTTGGCAAGTTCTCCCAGTCTGTGCCCAGATCAGTTTCCTCGTCACTTATGTGCTCATCTCCACTCTCATCTGATTCTCCAGCGACTCCAGGATCCACAAATTCCATGGACTCCTCAAGGTCTGCTCGCACTTCAAAAGGTCCCGACCTATGTGCACACAGTGAGGGACTACTTTTAGACAATCACCATTTCCAGGAGGTTAGATGCGGTCTTCCCTAAGACCCTACCCAACAGGACCAAGGGACCCAGAGCCCATCACCACACAGTTTCTTAAGTTGACACAGCACTCACAGCTGATCTATAACTGTTTTTTTATTTTATTGGTACCAGGAATTGAACCCAGGTGTCCTTAACCACTGAGCCACATCCCTAGCCCTTTTTTTAAAAAAAATATTTATTTATTAGTTATTGGCGGACACAACATCTTTGTATGTGGTGCTGAAGGATCGAACCCGGGCCATACGCATGCCAGGCGAGCGCGCTACCGCTTGAGCCACATCCCCAGCCCCCCTAGCCCTTTTTTATACTTTATTTAGGGACAGGGTTTCAATAAGTTGCTGAGGCTACGCAACTGTTTTCTTTACCCAAATGCCGACTGCCATCCAAGTAATAAAATCATAATACCCCACTTTTCCTCAATTCTACCTACTGTATGTATTTCCTGGTTAGAAAGAAAACCCATCCATAGACACAGTCCATGCTGGGGATCCAAACTATGGGTTCCAATTTTTAATAAGTGCACTATGCATGGATGATATAATTCCGACAAAAATGGTCTCTTGATGCATATTCTGGTATATTATTTAGTGGTATACAAAGGAAACTATACAGACAGTCCCTGCCTTATGGAAGCCCCAAATTATAAAATCTCTTAAGACTCAAAAAAGCTAAGTGGTGTGGTTGTCTACAGGTCAGCAGCTTCTCTGGATTATGGTCAAGCTCCTGCACACACATGAAAATATTGACTCATGATTTTCCAAAGACATATTTGTTACACAGAACAACAAAAACTATCTAGAACATATTCATCTGCAGTGAGGCCTGCTTATATACGGCATTTCAGGAGAAAACTATTTCCCAAAGGCCCCTACCTTTCCTTAGGGCTCATCCTGCCCAGCTCCTCGGTGCCACACAGTGGGATGGACCTTTCTGCTTCTTGCCTCCCTTCAAATGTCTGTCAGTTTGTGCTTTGGGGCCACTGAGCAGCCACCCTGTCCCATGATCCCTGGAGTCCAGGGAAGAGCAGAACTGAGTCCCTCCAGTATCCCCTATCTTCCTACTATTGCCAATAAGCACAGGAGGCCTCAGTTCATTTAAGAGTTTCACTGATAATTACTTAGGGGGAAAATAATAGATTAACAAAAACAACCAATGAGAAATATCCAGCCATATTTTGTCTGTGGTCCAAAATTCTTTCCAATCTAGAATGATAAAAGGGCTAGAGGTCTGTCTCCTGTGTACTGCACTAAAGCTACACCTTCTGGCTTACTTTCTCCAGGGTCCACATCTCTTATTCTTCCAAGACAACTTTGCTTCCCAGCTGGAATAGAGCAGCAACAGCTAACATTGATATTTCAGGTAATGTTTTTAGGACAACTATTCATTAAATAGATATACCTGTAGGGTTTTTCTTCGTGGTCTCCTGTGAGCAACCTATGAAGAGCTCTTCAAAACAAGCTTTCTAGGTTTTCACCTGCCTGGAAGTCATTTTGCAAGGGGCTGGAGGGAGTGACCAGAGGGAGGTTTCTTAAAACTTTCCCTGGCAGGGCATGGTGGTGCATACCTATAAACCCAGCAACTTGGGAGGCTGGGGAAGGAGGATCACAAGTTTGGGGCCAGACTCAGCAACTCAGTGAGACTCTGAATAAAATACAAAATAGGGCTGAGGATATGGCTCAGTGGACAAGTGTCCCTGAATTCAACCACCCACCCCCCGCCGCCAAATAAAAAAATAAATGAATGAATGAAAAAAGCCATGGTGGGGATGTGGTTAAATGCCAGAGTTCAATCCCTGGTATTCAAAAAAACATCTTTCCCTCGCTAAATGAGCACTGAAGCTGGTACTTTAGCTCTGCAGATCTGTTTCCTTAAGGTTCTCCTTACACTCAAAACTCTTCTCCCTTCCTTCCCTTTTTCTTTGGTAAGCTATTCTCCTAAGTTCTACTCCCAAATATGCCATTGCTTGCCCAATCTCTCAGTCGGAGGGTAACTAATGGCTCACACTCATCTTCTTAGGTATCTGAGCCAGTCAACCAATCTCGAAACAGGCCAGTTAAGACTTCGCCCCTCCTCTACATTCTCGAAGGTCTACTCTAGCTCAGGGCCTTACCCAACGACCTCCTATCTGCCTCATTCTGGAGAGCTACCTCCTCCTCATGGCATCTGCCTACTAAAAATGTTCACATTTTGAACACATTCTTGGGCTCCCCTACCCCCCTAGACACTAGACCTTGCCATCTAAGGGCCCATAGCATTCCTAGGCAGGAGCCAAAATTAACACTCTCCCATATCCTCTTCCTTCTAACTTTGGAGGCTCAGCCTGTTCTCTGTTCTTCCTTGATGCTACCTTATCTACTCCTGAAGTCCTCTCAGCCTGGGATTGCCACTGTCCCTAGATACCCTTTCACGGGTCCCAGGAGCCAGGCAAAAATGACACAGGAGGAAAGGGCCCTTCTTCCAGGCAGAGTCTTTCCTGGGGGAGCCTAACTAGACTCCAGTTCTCTGCCTGGAATCCCCCAGAGCAGAGTCTTCTTGGCATGGAGCAAGTGCTCCAAGAAGTGCTTAAAATGATAAAACAAATGGAAGATCCCTAAAGCAGCCAGTTTGGAATAATTTTGGTTCTCAGGGACCTATATTCCTGAGAAGCCACAGGAGGAGGACAGAGCCCTTGCCTGCTTTCTCCATTATTTCTGTGGCATGACATCCCCTGAGCTAGAGGAGAACCAAGCAGTGAAAGAATGCATTCTTCTTCCCTTAATGTCTTAGGAAATAAAGATTATAGGATTGTTTAATTTGTAGTTTAGCTGAATAATTACTATGATTTTATTCAAGACCCTGAAGCCAGACTACTCATTTTATTATGATGCTGCTGTAGGGAGTTTTTCTATCAACTAAGGTAACAAACTAACCTTTTTGGCTTTCTAAAAGTCTCCTATACAAAACATCTTATTTGAAAATGATGTGTTAATGTAAGCACCACCACCATAAAGATGAGATCAGGGAAGATCCATTAACTGACACTTAAGTCCAGGGGGAAATTCTGGCAAGAAGTGTTTCCCCCACAGAATGCTTATTAGCTGCAAGGAAGGAAAAACACAGAAGTACACAGTGGGGAACTGGAAAGCATCTTGACTGGGCATCGAGTGAGTATCCCCAGCCAGGAGCAGATGGATGTTGCCTCCTGATGCGATGTCCTGAAGGAGACACCCACTCAGGCAGAATGGCAGCCCCACATCTGATTTTGAGAAAACATCAAGAAACCCCCAAATGAAAGTTCTATTAAAAAGGGGTGGGGGACTCTGTTTAGCCATAGATGAATCTGGGTAAACAGCATTATGAGTCTTTGCTATTTTTGTTTTTGCAAATTTTGCAAGTTTGAATTCATTCTAAGACAAGTTTAATTCTTGATTCAGAAGAGGATCCTTGGTTCTGCCAAGTGCATGGAAACAGGAAGTCCCAACCAGGCTCTGTCCACATTCCTGTAAGCCTTCATTCCAACAGGGAACTTCAGTAGCTTTATCGTGACCATGGGTTCAGGCTGTGAACTCAGATGCGACCGTCAGCCAGATGTTTGTCCTTTTGCAGGGCATAGCCCTCTAAATGGAAGAGGTGACTGAAAGGTAAGCCTACAGGAAACTTTGGACCCTCCAAAGTAACCATGAGTGGGAGTATGCCTGCCTGCTTCCTAACAGTTCCCATGTTGAATATCATTAGTTCTTTCCATCTTCTCAAATGATGGTTGAAATATGGAAACATATTTTGAATTTGCATTTATTTTTTATTTTTTGCAGTACT